TGGGGTTGGAGGGTGCCCTCAGGGGTGCAAATACCATATTTTCCTGCCAATAACTCAGGGATGAAATGTCACTGCCAGCAATGGGACGTTTCTGTGGACCTGAATTTCCTGCCCAGCTCTGCAGTGTGGCTGAAGGGCCATAATTTGGATATTTGAATAATTTGAGGATTTTCCTGTGTTCAGCCCCGCTGCTGTTGGCCCAAGGTGGCAAGCAGAGACCCTGAGATCATTACTGTGCAAGCATTAATCAATAATTAATAATTAATAATTAACTGCTGCTTTGTTAAAGTCTGCAGAAATGTTAAACAACTCAGCAGACACCCCAAACTTCTGCCATGAACACACAACCACAAGAACAATTTTCATACTTCAAGAGTTACAATCCCATCAAACAGCAGCAATTTGGTTTTTTTTCTTTTAGCTCATTGCAAATACAAAGTTCTAGCAGGGAACTACAAATTGGAAAAATCTAAATCTTGGCATTTATTACCTTCTCCAAGGTAAAAATACATCTTTAAAAAGCAGAAAATGAAAATCTGCTTTTCCATTCAGAGAGAAAAACGTGGTGAAATTTGTTCCTTAAAAAAGATGATGCTTCATCTTCAGCATTAAATAAAACTGAACCATTCTCATGGTGAGCTGAACATCCCTGACTTTTTATTATAAGGCATTTTAAAGCATATTTAAATGGATTTTGGAGGGTTTAAAGCATATTTTAACTGATTCTGGAGGGTTTAAAATAAAGCATATTTAAACTGATTCTGAAAGGTTCAAATAAAACATATTTAAACTGATTCTGGATGGTTTAAAGCATATTTAAACTGATTCTGGAGGGTTTAAATAAAGCATTTTTAAACTGATTCTGAAGAGTTTAAATAAAGCATATTTAAAATTATTCTGGAGGGTTTAAAGCATATTTTAACTGATACTGGAGGGTTTAAATAAAGCATTTTTAAACTGATTCTGAAGGGTTTAAATAAAACATATTTAAACTGATTCTGGAGAGTTTAAAGCATACTTAATCTGGTTCTGGAGGGTTTAAAGCATATTTAATCTGGTTCTGGAGGGTTTAAAGGATATTTAAACTGATTCTGGAGGGTTTAAAGCATATTTAGACTGATTCTGGAGGGTTTAAAATAAAGCATATTTAAACTGATTCTGAAAGGTTTAAATAAAGTATATTTACACTGATTCTGGATGGTTTAAAGCATATTAAATCTGGTTCTGGATGGTTTAAAGCATATTAAATCTGATTCTGGAGGGTTTTCCCCTGAGGGATTTTAGAAGGAAACCTCACAGCTTTTAAGAGAACACAAATCCCTCCATGTTTACAACCACCAATTTCTGTGTTTCTGGAGATACCTCAGAGATATAATTTGATTTGATTTTTTGCCACTGGCTGCTGGATGATCCAGCTAAAATTTCCATTTCCATCATCACTTTCAGCTTCAGGAGAAAAAGCTTGTGAATTTTCAATCCAGCATTTGTGACATATTAACAAACCCTAACAGAAAGCTCTGGGAAAACCTAATATTTATTTATTTATTATTAATTTGCTTTGCTTTTTGGAGAAATAAAATATTGTTTCCACTGGTGATGGGAAGCAGGGAATCCACCTCCTTTGTTTTGCCGTGGTAATTTGGTGTTTCCAACACGAGGCCATGGAGAGCAAGGCTGGATTTTTCCAGGCACACAGATGAGGTGTTTACAACTGCTGCCATCTACCAGAGTCATAAAAAATCAGGAATAAAACCCAATAATGGCAGGAGATGAGCACTCAAATCCTTGCCATGGAAAGCAGGTGATTTAAGGAATCAATCAGAGAGAAAACTCACTTGTGTAAAAGCAAAGCTGAAGGCAGCACTGCCATGCAGAGCTGGGGAAAAAAATATTAAATAATCATTTTATTCTATAAAAATCTGGCTAATTCAGCTGGAGTTTTGGAAGATTTTTTCCTCCAGAGCTGGGAATTCCCTGCTTTGGTGCCTGATGGAGGCAGAGTTGGTGCTTTTGGGGCTCTTTGCTTTGCTCTCTGGCCAAGCAAATGTTGGTGCTTCATTTCCAGAGGAAAANGGTTCTGGACAGGGTCAAATTTAAGGCAGTGGAGTAATTTTTGACCAAATGAAGAAAAATTCAAGAGAAAACTGTGGTTAAGATCATCCTGAAAGATTTTAGATTTTAGATTTTCTGTGCTGACCGGCACTGACCCCCCCAAGAGAACACTGAGGCTGTGGAGAAAAATTAAATCTAAATAAAATTAAATTCCAAAATTAAATGATAGAACTGGGATTATAAGTGTGTAGTTTGAATAGAAGTGTGTAATACCACATGGTAGAAAGCTTAAAGTTTTAGAATATAGTAATATATATTTAAAAATATATCATATATATAGTAAAAAATATATAAAGTAATATAATATAAAGTTTGGTAAGATAGAAGTATCACATAATATATAGAAGCATAATACATATAATACATAATATATAGTGTAATATATAATATATAACATATAATATACAATATGTAATATGTAATAGAATATATAATACATTATATAATATACAATATATTGTATATTATATTATATTATATATTACATATGTTATATTATATATGTTATATGTTATATATAATATACACAAAATATATTATATAATATATAAAATAGAATCTATACAATAGAAGTATTATATAAATATATAGTTTGATAAAATAGAAGTTTTAGGCCAGAGACTGGTCCTTCTTCTTTACCTTCTTCATGAGTTTAGGTAGTTTTGTGTAATTAGATAAAAAAAAGTGCATTGCAGGCCATGGGTAATTAGTTACTAAATTAAATGTAAAACAAGATTTAAGTATAATTTCTTAATTAGTTTATCCTTAAAAAGCCTGTAAAGAGAGAGCTACAGCTCCATTTTTAGTTTGTTCCCCTTTCTCAGCCCTGAGCAGAGCCAAACACACACAACAGGGGAAAATAGTGAGGCAGAGATAAGAAATGAGAAAATTAAAAGTAATATCCATTTCTTAAATATCCAGGAAATGCTGAGTTTCTTCTCAGAACTCACATTTACCTTTTTGCACCCCCAGAGCCCCTCAGTGCCACCTTCTCTGCTCCAAGATGAGGAGGGTCCATCTCCTGTGGTTAATTAAGGGGATAATCAAGGGAATAAAAAGCAATGTGGGAGACTGGCAGATCTTCTGTGTGATATTCAGGACATTGGGAAATCCCATCAGCAAGGTGATATCTGCATAAATCATTTCTGATCTGGGGGCTCTGACCCAGAAAAGACCAAACAACACAACTCAAACCTGTGCTCAGAGCAAATCCTCACCTGGATTTACAGCTTTAAAACCAATTTCTTGATGCAGTGCACAAGCCACAAGCCCAGAGCCTTTCCAGTGTTGTTGGATTTTTAGGGGGATTATTGTTTCCAAGGCATGGATGGGGTCACAGAGGGCTACCAGCTGTTAACATCTGGAACTGATATTGCCAGAAAGGTTCAGTGCAGCAGCAAGGGAGGAGCTCTGCACCCTGCACCATCCCACAGCCCCCAGCCCAGGCACAAATCAATGCCCAGGATGGAACACCCAGCTCCAGGCATCTGCTGAAGATATTTACAGGCTGCTCCAGCTGCTTTTGATATGTTCAGAACAAATCTCAGGAACTTCATTTCTGATCAAAATGTAAACTCTTGCAGCCTGTCAAACAAAATCAGGGGCTGCTGTGAATGAAAATGTTAATTTTAAAATTAATTGTGTGTCTTTCCATGCTATGATCCACTTATCTCTCGTTTTCTTTCCCTTTTGAAGAGAAAAATATACATTGAGGTATCACAAACCCATCAAGGACCTTCCCCCTCCAACCCCAAACAAACCCAGTCCAGCCTTGGAAGGCATTTAATGAATGATAAATGATCTTTTAAAAGGCAACAAATATATTTTTCCAATAATTTTCTTTCCTCTCCAAACATCAAAGAAGCTTAAATACCATGGAAACAAATATGACAAATCTCCCAGACAGTGGAATTTATCAGTCCCTTTCATACACTGCACAACTGAAGCTCAGAAAGCACAAATTCTCTGCATAAAAACACAAAATAAACCCATGACAGAGCTGAGGGGGGAAAAAAAGCCAGATATTGTGATTTGATCTCGTCTGTAAGTCACAAAACTCCCAGGATGTACTTCAAATTTTATTTCTATTTCCAGTACATCATAATAATTATAACAGAATGGTCTGCAGCCACAATTTAAACCAGTGGCTGACTTTGTGTGGATATTCACACACAGATGATTTATTATAATCACAAAGGCTTTCAACATGAAATACTTGATCCTGAAATCCTTCATCACACAAAAAAGCTCAGGAAATTCTGCTTCATCCAGGCCTGACTCTCATTTTCCCAGATCAAGAGCTCAGTGTTGCCTCATTTATTCCTCCATCTCAGGAGCGCCTTGTGTGTGTGTGAATATTGCAATAAATGCTCAGAGGGCACAGACACCCCAATATTCTGCTGGTTGGGCACTCCCAGCTTTGATTTCACAGCTTCAACCCCCCCAGCTCCCAGGTTTCAGTGCAGTTTGCTGAATCTGGATCTTTTTTATTTAGAAGGGACTCTCAGACACCCTTGAGTTGCCCTCCCACAGATCCTCTCAATTCCAGGATGCCCAGATTTGGGAGCTCCTGCTGTGCAAACAGCCCCAAAATTGGCTTTGCACTGCTCTGGAAGCCACTTGGGGAACTGCAAAGCTGAAAGGAAAATTCTCATGGCAGCTCTGCTGTGCTGATTCTGTGGGGAAAGGAAAAATCCCTAAAGATGCAGAGCCCCTGCACTGCTGAGGCTGCTCCACTGCAAACCCTGGCACTGCCACCCCCGTTCATGACAAAACCCCCAAACAACAGTGTCCTTTTCCCTGCTTCCTTGTGAACAATTGGCTCCCTCATCACCTCCAAATCATAAAAATCTGAATCTATTTTATAGTTATAATACAGGATTGAACTGGTGTCAAGCCCAGAGTAACAGCAGCTGGTTCTCTTCTGGAGGTGCTGCCTGCTAGGCCTGGTCACCTCTGTGCTCTGCTGCCATTGCTGAGTCCCTGTGCTGCTCCTCAGGGTCCCCTGGCAGGATGCTGGTGACTGTCTGCAGCAGGGACTCGATCTGCTCCTCTGTCAGCCTCTCCTCGCTTTCCTCCACCATCTGCAGGGCAAAAAAAACCCGAAAAAAACCCCATTGGCATCATCAAATCCACACTTCCTCCCTCAGGGAGAAGGACTCAGCTCAGCAGGGAAGACTTTGTCAAGACACAGCCTGAGCTCATCACAAAAGCATTTTACAAAGCAGGACTCTTGGAATATTTTGAAAAAAAAAAAAAAGAGAAAAGAAAGAACTCCATTGTTCAGCACGACAATTGGCACTGTGTAATGAGATCCTGATTTCCTTACAGCAAGGCAAACACCACCCTGGGAACAGCCTGGCTTCCCCTAAAGCCTCCCTCAACCTCCACAGCCTTGTCCTGAGCCAGGCTTTTCCTTCAGCTCAGATGCAACCTCACTTTCCTGACCTTTCTCCCAAATTTCTGTGTTTTCATGGGATATCCTGAGAGGAATTCCCTGGACCTTGGCTTCTCCTGCAGTACCTGCAGGAAATAATCAGCCCATAAAAGAAACCACCTCATCCTACAGCAGCTGTACCCCACTGGAATTTGCTTGGATTGGGAGACTCCTGGATATAAAGACATTTAAAGCTCTGAGCAACATCAAAAGCACTGTCATGACTCAACTCCATGATTCCAGGAGATTAATGAGGGACCCACTCCCACTGTGGAGCTGTGGCAGCTTTTCCATCACTGCTACCAGTAAAACAACTGCCCTAATTTATAGGCAGCTGTTAAAAGGGAAAAAAGCTTGTCAGAGGACTGGAAAAGCAAGTCAGAAGAACTCTTCAAACACAAATGAAACCAATTAGGACTGTGGGGTTTGAGTTGTCTTTTTTTTACAGCAAGTCCTTGAGAATGGCCTTTGAAGAGGAGTGATTTACAGTAATGATGTTCCAAGTCAATGCAGGTTTAATCAGCTCTAGCTGCAAACTGCCAGCTCTTCAGATGCCTTCTGAAAAGCAGAGTGGGACTTCCACTCATTTTTGTGCAGAGGACTCTGAAGAAAAACAATCTGATCATCTTTCATCAGGATCATCCCCAGATCTGCACACACACAGAGAATCTGCTCCTCAGCAAAAGGCAGACGCTGAATTTCCATTTGTTAATGACTTTCTGGGGACTATCCCCATCAAAGGATGGAATCCCAGTGGAGTGGCTTTCCAGGCTCAACAACTACTGTAGGACTCAGGCTTGAACAGCAGCCCTGGCTCTGCTTCCCAGCAGCTGCTGCTCTGCACTCCCTGTGCTCACACTCCCTCACATCCTCCTGCCCTGGCTGGGAGAGCCCCTGGGGCTGAATCCTGCCAGCAATTCCCCCAGGGAATCATCTCAGCTCACCTTGGAGCATCAGCACCACACCAGGAAAGGTGGAAGTAGAAGATATCCCTGGAACTAAATGTTCTTTAGATCTCTCCCAGCCCAAACTATTCTGGGACTGGGATTCCATGATCAGTTCTGCTCCACCACGCCTTGGTGCCAGTGCTGCTGACAAATCCCTCCTCTGCAATTGTGGGATCTCAGCAGCTCAGGACTGAGGTGCAGTCACTGAGAGCACCCTTGGGGGGCTCGGGAGTCCTGGAATGTTCCAGAAGTGTCTGGTGGCTGGACTTTGATCCTACACAGGAGACGACACCTGTATGAGGACAGGAGGGTTTCACCGGGGTGAATG